TTTTCCTTGAGTATTCTAATGCAGAGGTATGTGGCACAAAGGGAACCAGCTTCTTGACAAAAATAAATGCGATGGTGTTTTGGCTTTTTTACCTGCAATGGTACCAACCTCCTGCAGGATAGATCTGTTCCATCCTACAGCCATTCCAAACACAGATTCTGCCTTCTTTTTAAATCCTTCTAGGACGCTTCTGCTACACAGCAAAGAACCGATTCTTGCAATTACAGCACTACAAAAACGCCAAAAGGGAAATGTATCATATCCTGCCATTTTTTTACAGAGAGGTTAAAAAGACTGAACCATAGTCTTTGTGCTGCTTCATGCACAAAATTTTTCCTCCACAACCGAAAGGAAAAAAAAAACACGGTCTGATGAATCACATTTTCTTTTAGATCAGGTGCATGTGTCATTTACCTGGAGAAGAGCTGGCAGCGGGATGCACTATGGATAGAAGGCCAGCCAGCAGAGGCAGTGTTATGGTCTGGTCAATGTTCTGCTGGGAAACCTTGGGCCGTGGCATTCATGTGGATGTTCCTTTGGTACATACAGCCTACTTAGAGCTTTGTATTCTCGAAGGCTACTTAAAGATTGTTGCAGACCATGTACACCCATTTGTGGCAATGACGTTCCCTGATGGCAATGGCCTATAAGCAGGATCATGCACCCTGTCACACTGCAAAAATTGTTCAGGTAGGTTTTGAGGAACATGGCAAAGAGTTCAAGGTGTGGCCTTGGCCTCCAAATTCCCCATATCCCAGTCGAACTGAGCATCTATGGGATGTTCTGGAATACCAAATCCGATCCATGGAGGCCCCACATTGCAACCTGCAGGACTTAAAGGATCTACAGTACTGCTAATATCTTGGTGCCAGACACCACCACAGGGGACACTCCGAGGTCTTGTGGGGTCAAGGCCTTGATGTATCAGATCTGTTTTGACAGCACAAGAGGTGTAATATCAGGTAGGTGGTTTTAACCTTGTGGTCGATCAGTATACATTTCAGTGCCAAAGAAGTCCATTTTTTCCAGTCTGCAGCAAAAGTCAATCTATCTGTATTTTGAATTTAGCACTTTTAAAAACAAATCTGAGGAAATGTTTGTAAGAAACATTTTTATACTCATCAGAAAAGGCACTGTTCCTCCTCCTCCTTTTAATTATCAATAATTTGTTAACGGAAGTAAGAAGATGTCATACCTGAATTCAAGTGAATTTATGGATGCAATCTCTGTGGCTTCCAGTGCGCAAAGACTAGCACCCAATCCTGCCAAATCAAAGCTTTTCAGAGTATCCATCGTTTGTTCCGAATCTTCCAGATAGCCGTGTAAAATAGACTTGGCCTGAGGAGAGAGCAACGAAGCAAAGATGTAATTATTGTTCACTTCGATTGGAAAGACCTGCACCTGTTTGTAGAACACATAGTACATTATCACACAATTTCTTGTTTTGGAACTACAGTTCGGAAATAAATAGTGGGATGTTTTCATACATAAAGATAAAGGTGCCTTTTGGACAGTAAAAGGACAAAAAGTGTTTAAATCTGGTGTTCAGATGTTATCCATTACAAGCAATGACATTCCCTGTAATAGAATTCCTATTTAAAAGTAATGATACAACTTGTAGCATTCAGCCCTGCCCTCACCTGTCCGTCACAGATGAGCAGTGGAAAAGGAGCCAATGAGGGAATGGAAGGTGGTGCTAAAGGGGGAGGGGCTGGGATATAAAGGGGGATGTATGGAGTATGAGTGGGGTTATGTGAGTCTGTGAGCCAGTATGTCAGTGAGAGTAGGGTTCTGTGTTTCAGTGAGTTCAGTGAGTGAGAGATATTGATTATCAACTTGTAATTTACCTATTACATAAAGGTAAAGGTAAAGGTTCCCCTTGACAATTTTTGTCCAGTCGTGTTCGACTCTAGGGGGCGGTGCTCATCCCCGTTTCCAAGCCATAGAGCCAGCGTTTTGTCCGAAGACAATCTTCCGTGGTCACGTGGCCAGTGCGACTTAGACACGGAACGCTGTTACCTTCCCACCAAGGTGGTCCCTATTTATCTACTTGCATTTGCATGCTTTCGAACCGTTAGGTTGGCGGGAGCTCACTCCAAAGCGTGGATTCAATCTTACGACTGCTTGGTCTTCTGACCCTGCAGCACAGGCTTCTGCGGTTTAGCCCGCAGGGCCACCACGTCCCTACATATTACTGATCAAATAAACAAGTTTAAATTCAAAGTAACACATGTCTCATTGAATAATTGGTATTGAATCAGCAATACCTGGTGGCAGCAACTAAAGAAGAAGAGTGAGCACCTCCTGGAGGTCTGAGATAATTAGAGGCTTCAGTGTGCTCGCAACACAACTGTTAACACTGTTTAGATTTTGTTGTGTTTTGTGGATGGCAAATGTGCTGTGTTTTACTGCTGCTGACTGGCTTCACATCTGCTCTACCCATATATTTGTAAGGTAGATACCCAAGACGTTTTACTGCCAGAGGTAAATACGAAATGGTACACCCTTATGATTCCTTGTACACAAATCAGCAATATTCACAGCAGGACAGAAGGCCTGAGGCAGGCCACACTCCACACAACTGTTTCCTCCACTACTTTGCTGCTGCCCACTCTCTGCCCCAGGGAGCTGTCTCATTCTACCCAACGACAGGGCTGGCCTTACAGTTTTCAACAATAATAAAGCAAAATGTTATCCCTGAAATGCTGTGTCCCTCCAGGGCTCTTTCACTCAAAGGGATGCAAATCTGTGGCGCGGTTCATGAAACATCTTGCTGTGTTGGGGGAAAGGCAGCACTGAACATACTGTAATTTTTGGCCCAGACAATACTGCTGGTAGAATTACTCAGAGCTTAGAAAAACTGACTTTTTTGGATTACAAATTCCAGATTCCTCCAGCCACCATTGAGGGTTGAGTTGTGGTTGGTGTTCCTGATGGAGGGAAGCTCATTATGAAAGATTTAGGAATCCTCATTCTACTAAACAATGGACCCATGTAAGACACACATACCTGCCCTTGGTTCCATTCCGTTTGCTGACTCAGTGCAGCGACGGTATCAATTGAACTCAAGTCCAGGGCTCCAATTTCAGTCTCGTTTAACGCTGTAGCAATGCGGCCAAGGGAAACAATGTGATAACTCTTCCAGTTTGTCAAGGAGCCCCAAACCTTAACATCAAACACATTAAAAAAAATCAACCCATTGCTGATGAAATTAAAGTTACTTCACCCAGAACCACATACAATCTCGTGGTTTCATGCCATCAAACTATTTTCAACTTATGGTGAGCCTATGAATTAATGATCTCCAAAAAATCCCATTGATAGCTATTAATCTTCCAAACAAAAGGCTTCCTTTTAAAAGGTAACCCATATCATGTTAAATCTTCCCCTTTTCCTACTCGCTTCTAATCTTCATATTGTCTTTTCCTCTCATGATACAGTATGTCCAAAGTATGATAGTCTAAGTTCAGTCATGTTTGCTTGTAATGAGAACGCAGAATCCATTTATTTGCTTTCCATGATCTCCAAAACTCTCCTTCCACACCACAGTTTGAATGTATTGAATAACAGAGATTCTTACATCATCTGTCAGCCCATTTCACACAGACTCTTGTTTGGGGGGCTTACCTATCACCATTGCCCTTGCAGACAAAAGACTCTGTACTCTTAGGACACTGAAAAACTGCCTGCCGGCTTAGGGTCCATAGAGTTGCAAGACACAAAACCCACAGATGGTATGGCTTCAGAATCAGATGAAGGAACTGAGCACCTCTCCACACACACCCCATAAACAACTCATGGTGAAAAAAGAAAAGGGCCTTGATTACTGTAGATGCTAGAGAATCTTCGGGTCTCCTAGTGAGCAGAGGCCTCCTCAGGAAGAAATGCTTCTCTAGGGGTTAATCTCTGATCATGATTTGATCAAGAGCTATGGGGCTCACCACTCAGCCTTGAGCTGAGCTCCCAGCGAAGGCAGGCTTTGATGCAATGTAGGAACAGCTGGGGCTCAAAAACCTGGGAGTTGAAAACAAACTGTTCCACACTGTCTATACATGTCCCTACCGGACCTTGCTCCTGGATCCCCCATTGCTGTGCCTACTCATATTCTGGACTGTATGGCTGGGCTTTGTGTTTCTCCCTCACACCACTCTTGTCGATCTGTGCCAGCTACTGATCTTGAACTGTTGACTTTGGTGTGGACACTCCTTGTTGCCCTGAGGCCACGGGCAAGGCCTGCCTGTCTCTCAGTCCTATCTAACCCCTTGAAGGTTAGATTCCTGTTTGCATGCTTCTATGACATCGGTTGGCCATTAAGGCCAGGAAGGAGGTCCGTGATGGCTGCTTACACTCATCATCAGGGATGTCGGCAAGCCTTTGGGTCTGATTCCCAAACATGAGTCCGAGTCTTTACCAGCTCCCACGTCTGAGTCCCTATATTTTTTTAAAAGCCTTTTTCTCCACAAAAAAGGGTGGGTGGGTTCTGATCCATAATTCAAGTCCGAGTCATTGGGGGGACGACCAAGTTGTCTCAGTCTAGTCATTGGTGTGATTTAAGTCTGACCTGACAGTCAGTCCTGCAACTTGAGTGTCCATTCTTGCACATAATAACGTTCTCTCTACACTCTGCTGGCTTCTCCCCATTTTACAGGGTCTGATGCTCCTGTCATTTCCATCCGGCCTGGCCAGTCCAGAAACACCCCCTCCGGCTAAATGGAGCAGGGTGAGGCAGATGCCTCAGGCGGTGGAATCTTCATGCCATCTAATGGCAACAAATCACTACTGTATTTATTTATGTGCTGTTTGTTTGTTTTTCAGGGAACAAAAGAGATTCTTTCAGGATCTTCTCCCTGAGACACCAGAATAACTTAGCTGGCTGTGTGTACTGTGGATGCTGATGACTCTAGCTCTCCTTCCCATCGTTGGCAGAGGAAGCTGGGCAAACCTAGGAGCACTGCCTGGCCACGGTTATGGAGTGGACGGGGGCTAACAGGCTGAAATCTGAATCCTGACAAGACAGAGACCTGTTGCAAGGAGGGAACCATGATCAATGAAGGGACTTTTTACCTGGTCTAGATGGGGTCACACTCCCCTTGAAGGATCAGGTCTGTACTCTTGGTGTGCACCTGGCCCTGGCCTTCTCCATGGAGAATCAGACCTTGGCTGTGGCCTTTTTCCAACTTAGCCAGATTGCATACCTTCACCCTTATCTGAATGGGACGTCCCTGATAGCACTGGTTCACATGCTGGCAATCTCAAAGATAGACCAATGCTATGATCTTTATGCTGTGCTCACTAGATGGATGGGGTAAAAATTGAAACATGCAAATATCTTCATTTCAATAGATGAGGGGTGTTTGTGTGCGCGCGCGCATACAAGGATGGCATTTGCTGATCCATCTCAGACAGCTGTTTCTGTGTTGTATCATGTGCACAACACCTCTTGCCACCACTGTGGCAAAGAATCATAACATTGTGAAGTTGGAAGATGGCTTAAATGGTCATTTAGTCCAAGGTGCTGCCCCTGTATGAGACACCTTGTTAATCTGCGCTGGCTACTGATCTTGAACTGTTGACTTGGGCATGGACACTCTTTGTGGCACTGATGCCACTGGCAAAGCTTGACCATCTGTCTGTCCTAACTACAGTGCTGTGCTGTCAAATTGCCTCCAACCTCTGGTTGCTCTTGTGAAGGAGCAGCCCCCAAAATATCCTGTCATTAACACTCCAGCTCAGCTTTGCAAACTCCAGGCTATGGCTTTCTTTATGAAGTAAACCCATCTCATATTTGGTCTTCCTCTTTTCCTGCTGCCTTCACAGTTTACTAGCATTACTGTTTTTTCCAGCAAGTTGTGTCTTCTCATGATGTGCCCAAAATAGAACAGCCTCAGTTTTACCATTTTTGCTACTAGAGATGGTAGAAGAGATGAAAACTCAAAAATTGTTTAAAACGCTCCCTGAAGGAAATACTACTGCTACCTTCCAAGATAGTCTGTTCCATCCTCACCAATTCTTCCCATCAGTTTGATTTTTTTTCATAAAACCTGAATCTGCTGGTTTGGAGCCTATCCTCTGGGGCAGCAGAAACCCAGCCTGTTCCATCTTCCATGTGACAACACTTCAGATATTTGGAGACGGCTATAATATCACAGCATCTCTCAACTCACTCACTTCCCTTTCAGATTAGGGATAATTTCTATGAGGGCAGAGAGTGCAACCTTTCATTTTTCTGAAATTAAGCATAACAATTCAGACACAAATAATTTCAGGGGCATGGCTGTGTCATGCATTTTGAGCCTAGCAGTGTAGTTTTGCTAAAAATACCTGCTTTGCATAGGATTATGAAAGGTTTAGCAAATTACAGAAGTAAGTACTGATCGGCCAGCAGTGCACAGCTGGTGCATGCTAAGCTTGACAGTAATTTTGCTGGGCTGCAGAGGTCACTGTCTAAGGTATTAGACAGACAGACAGACAGACAGACAGACAGACAGACAGACAGAAAGAAAGAAAGAAAGAAAGAAAGAAAGAAAGAAAGAAAGAAAGAAAGAAAGAAAGAAAGAAAGGCAGTTTTCTAACTCACAGAGCAAATCTGGTGATCAGTTCTGCCACTAGGATTGAAGAAACTTGATTTTGTTCTACTGTTGTAGCTTTTGATCTGTTGTGAGAAGAGTAGCAGCCACTTTCAAAAATGGCTTCTTAAAAAGAAATGGAATGGGAGAAGAGAGAGTCCTACAAGGCCCCAAGCTTGGTTTCATTCATTTCAAGTTTGCAGAGAAAGGAAGCTGCATGTTATTTCCCTAATCACAACAAACATTCCATTCCATGTGATTCAGGACCAGCTCTGCCTGAGGCAGAATGAAGCAGGTGGCAGATGCTTGGACGGCAGCCATAGATAATGATTTTTTTAAAAAAATATATAACACGTTAGTGTTAATCACTATTTCACACTTATGGAGGTTCTTTGGAATCAGAAATCTGTCTTGCCTTTTCTAAATATACCCAAACAGATAGCCAAGAGCAGTGTAGTGAATAGAGCACTGAACTGGGACTCAGGAGACATGGGTTCAAATGTCTGCTACATGATAGAAACTAACTGGAGGGGGCTGGCAATATGAAACTGCTCAGAAGCAAGTTGATAGAAACTAACTGGAGGGGGGTGGCAATATGAAACTGCTCAGAAGCAAGTTGATGGAACACAACAACCAATAACAAAAATGAAACAAAAATAAGAGCAGAAGTTTGTGGCATTTTAAAAACTAATAGTTATTTTCAGGGTGAACTTCTACAGATTACATTCTACCTCCTCAGAGACATCCCATAGGGCCGCTAGGTCTCAGGTCAGTGGCTAAAATTTCAAGGACATGTTATGCTTCCTTGAGTCAGAGGGGAGACAAACCTCTTAAGGTTGAGCACAGGGAGGAGCTGTTTATGGCTTTAATCCACCTCTAACCTGGTGCCAAGGCCCACTGGCTCAGTGTGAAGGTGTTTGCATATATGTTGTGCTTCCACTGTACTGGTGCAATAAAAAGCAGGAACATGGTGATGGAAGACAGCCTGGCAACGTGGACCCTGGCAACCCTGCTTCCCAGCCTTTATAGCTGTCTACCTGCTTAGCTTTCTCCTTCAGTGCATTCAGCTGAGATGCATTGAAACGGGCCACCGAACCAAGGCGTTCCACGGTTTTGCTGAAGGTTTCGGAATCCATGCAGATTAATTCCCGAACCGACCAAAACATATTTGCTTCTGACAGTTTTAGAATCTCATCCGAGGAAGGTGCCGTGACATCCGCACAATCTGAAAAGATCAAACGAACGGTTTCTTTAGCCCTGTGGACAGATTTTTGGCCCAAACGCATTCCACGATCTTCATCGCTGAGTGGGCAAATGAAAATGAGTAGGGTAGCCATATATTCTCTTGGAAGGATGGCGTTTCTGTACTTGAAGGGTTGCTTTTTGAAGACAACCTTAATCCTGAGGTATCTTGCGTTTGAAAGACTATCTTGTCAACTCTTTGTTTAAAAGAAAGGGCCCTAAAGAAGGAAATGAGGAATCCTGAAGTTGCCCACGCATAGTGAGTTGCGCCTGGTCTTAGCGGGCACGCGAGTTACCTGACCACAGTCTTTCCCACTCAAGTGAGAGGCACTGCAATTCTGTTTAAATTATAAAAACAATTTCTAGTTTAGCATTTGTACACATGCATTAGCCTATGCCATTTTATGTAAACCAGTGTCTTATGTTCCTTTTTGGCATTGTGTCAGTAGCCACCCTAAAAAAGGGAAGCTCCTTTTTCCAAAGCATGACTGTTACCTATAGTGTAGAGTTAAGATCAGCCTTAAATGTTAGGGCCATGGATAGTGTTCCTCAAATCCAGAGAGGGCTGAACAGGCTTGGGAGACTCAATCTGAAATTCCTTCTTGGCCAGGACACTCACTTGATTGGGTCAGCCACACTCTCTCAGCCTGACCTACTTCGCAGGGTTCTTGTTAAGATAAAGCTGAGAGGCAGAACCATGTACGCCATCTTGATTACACTGGAGAAAAAAATGAGCATGCTGCAAACAGTACATAGGGATGTACTTCAACTGCTTATTTTATTTTATCAATATACTGCCCATCTAACCAAAGGCCATTCTGGATGGTCTACAACAAAGGCAAAACAATAAGCAAGGCATCTAACCCTAACCTGATAATCAAAACAACACTAGTAAAATCAAATACAACATAGTAAACATATTAAAATATAACAGCAACTACTCCCCTATATTAAGGAAATTTTCAAACAACTGGGCTGGCCCTATGATTGGACAGCGTATGGCAGCTGCCCCGGCCAGGAGATATAGGATCTCAGGAAAGGACGATGCATAACTGTTCATTTGTTGCTACTGTGTTTCTACTCTCAGGGGAGAGGTATTTAAATGATTTTTCTCCCTGGTCTGCTTAAGGAAATTACAACTGGGCTGGCCCTATGATTGGACAGCGTATGGCAGCTGCCCCGGCCAGGAGATATAGGATCTCAGGAAAGGACGATGCATAACTGTTCATTTGTTGCTACTGTGTTTTGTTTCTCAGGGGAGAGGTATTTAAATGATTTTTCTCCCTGGTCTGCTTGGGGTACTATGCCACTTGACCTGGATGGGTGGGGAGGAGAAGAAGAATGGGATACTTTGCCTCAGGCAGCAGAATGACTTGGGTCCACTCCATACAGCTATCATTTCTAAACGTTGACAGTCAGTCCATGCATGGTCTCAGAGCAGAGCTGCTTTGCTTGTTCTGCCTAAACATGCAAGAGATTTTAAATCTGACCATCCCCTGTAATAAGCCAGAACATCACAGCTGCTGCTAAGAAGCTGAGCTCCCTCTGATAAACAAATTACAGCAAGGATGCATCAAAGCGATTTTGTCCTTGGAACGGCGAAAGGAAGGGTTGGTTTCAGCCAGAGGAAGGCAGAAAGCAGCAATGCAATCCCAACGACACAGTGGCAAGATATTGTTGAGCCAACAGGACAAGACGCATTAATGACCTCTCACATTCTTTCAGAAAAACCAATTCATCATCCACCAAAATGATAAAAATCACGTTTTCACAATCTAAAGGGCAGGTGGGCTTCCCACCTTTCCCTCTTTCATTGTGAACAGTAAGTAAACAGAGCTCTCATGCCACGGAACATTGTGGGATGTCCAAATCTGAGCATTAATTTTATTTAGAGATGGGAAAGATTTGGGGTTTTTTGGACTACAAGCTACAAAGTCCTCCAGTGAGTTTTTGATTTATCCTCGAGGAATGTATGGGGAACAACCGTAGTTATATTCCTCAGAGCAGTTTGCAGAATTAAAAGGAGAGGGAGAGGAACAAAAGAAAAAAGAAAATTCTAATGCAAGGTCAAAATATCATTGCATCTTAAAAATCAGAAATATTTCCTTCTGTGAGAGACACCCAGGGCAGGAGTCCTCAGTGCTTGAATCTCTAAATGCTTCAGGCTTTAGCTCCCAGTATAGCTTTGGCCATGCTGGTTGAAACTCCTGGGAGCTGACATCTAAAATATTTGGAGGGCTAAATATCTGGAGGATCCAGTGCATGACTATTAGATGCGTCTCAAATCAAGTAGACAGTGGGAGAAAACTTCTTAAGTTGGCAGACGCTTGGGAGAAGCCTAAACAGCAAATTAGGTGGGCACAGATGTACAGATATGGAATAATTGTCTGCCATCAAGTGAATTCTGACTTTTTCAGGGTTTTCCAGGTACA